ATGTTGATATGAGCCCCCCCCCACCCGTGAAAACCAAACCGGTACGCAACTCAGTGTGTTCCTGCAATTAGGCTTCAAGCAAGATAAAGTTAATGGAACCTCGCGAACTTCGCCTACTTGATGAGCCCGCTGAAGGGCGAAGCCCGCCGCAGGCTTTCGAGAAGTTCGCAGAAACCTTGTGGGCATTCACTTTTCTCTATGAAAGCACACTGCGATATCACGAATATCGTACCAAATGAAACATGAAGTGGTTTATGTGCAGCACACAGAACCGAAGAATACCATCAACGAGCGATTCAGCCGTGTTTCAGGTGAATCCTGGGTGAAAAACAACTCGGTATGCAAATGAGTGTATTTGTCGATTAGCTTATCTTGCAGCCCTCTGTACCCAAACCTGATAGCCAACTCTGGAAATAAGACGAGTACACATGTTGTTGGATCTTGACATTGAGGGCGTTAAAGCAGTTAAAGCAGCGCCAATATTCATTTGCCATAGCTCTTACGTAGCATGTGTTTTTCACTGCTGTTCCCGACTTTTAATAGGTAGCGGGTGCTCTGTCAGTCAGTATAGAAAATTTGAATTTGATCCCATCCATTGGTTCTCCGCATGTTTTGTAAATCGATCAATCTGGTAACCCAATTGGCATGGCTATAAATTTGTGAAAAAAAGCGAAATGTTACCAGGTAACAAATTCATCGACTGTTCAAAAACATTCCTGGCAGTTTTATTTCATGATGGACAGTTTTGTAACGGGACGATGCACTTCTAAATAGCACCAAGTGGGGAAATCCCGCATTGGGATGTGGCATAGTAAAGCTGATTGTTGACGAATCAAAGGTCTGGTGTGAAAATAGACGGTGTGTAGTGACCACTCTCCAAAAACCTAACTAAGAGCTGCTTTCTTGAGATAGGTAGCAAATATTCATGTCGCTGAATCTGCGCTAGATAAATAATCCGAAAGTATCCGGACATTATTGATACAATACAAGAATCAACATTCACCATTTAGAGGAGGACCGCATGCGATAGAATCAAATTAAGACGGATCAAGGTCATTTAATTGTTTGTCGGGAGAAACGGTAAGAAGTACAGTAATAGCTCCTCCAAGGGGAACAATTGAACACATCGACACTAAGAGGTGTCCTGCCGGAGACTGTTTATTTTTGGGAGGTAATTATCGTGGAAACTGGTCAGATTGATGAGGTGAGCAGTTTAGTGACAGCTTTATTTTCAATCAATGGGATATCGCCAAGGCCTTGTGAATGGAGTTGCGTGGATGTCGTTTACTGTTGAAATGTGTAATAAGTGACCCAATGAATTGGTCAAATCTGACGTGTCGTCTGACCAGAGGGAGCTACCTTACTAAAATGAACAACAAACTAGCGTGAAAACAAGAAAGGACAGAGTAAAGTGGGGTAATATATATTTTCGTGGAAATTTATAACTTAAGATAGAAGACCTAAAAAAATGGGGCCCAAGGTGGATGTAAAATTAAGGCTGACTAGACGGGCTTCAGAATTCGCCGATGGGAAACTTCAGACAACCTGCACAAGTTTTGAGTAGATGTGATTGTCTGTCTACTGTCTGGAGGTGTTTGACTCAACCTAGATGTCAGTTGCGATCCCCTAAGTTTGCACTGGCAAATGGTTATTTACGCGAGTCAGTGTGAACTGCTAACATAGTCTGAGTTCAGAGGTGAAGTCTGGTGTAAAGGGTAAATCTGGAGTCCGGCGCCAAAGGACAGTTAATTCATTCCGTTTACTAATTCAAAACCATGTGTACAACTCAGCTGAACGTCATTGTTTTCAAACCGATCATCACGAGTAGAACTCTAGAATGTGGATAACTGTATCATATTTATTCATGCTGAAATTCGCCCAAACGTATATCAGCCCAAATGGCTTCTTTGTTAAGCGAATGTAATCGCGTATCTGATACGTATCTTTCTAATTGTACTCTTCTCACCTACCAATTTTTCATCGAGGGAGACGTTGACAAACAAACGCACGTCAGTTCAATGTTTCAAACACAAGCCGTATACCAAAGTAGTGGTTCCAACTGCTGTCTAGGTCTAGGCAGCCTGGCATTACCTCATACCCCATGCTTCCACCGGGTAACATGGCAGCTACGCACCGAAAGAAAGATCATCGGAAAGTAGAGTAGTCCTCGTTCACCATTACCTTACGCGTCATTATTCGACGTCAAACGTTGTAAAAGTAGGGAATCGGCATATCGTTTTGTTACCTATGGTAAGAAGGATTCACATCACGCGTTTATTCTGCTATCTGAAAATCGCAGTGGACCACACTCCTTTGAGTAGCGTCGTAGCAAGAAAGTGGATCGCTGCGATCCACACATTCCTTTACATATGCCAATGCTTGTGTCGCATATGCAAACTGCTGACGCATTTGATCAATCAATATTATCCATCCAAACAATCTATTGACCCACGTCTGATAGCCAATATATATCTCCATTTCCAACTACCCTATCTGCAGCACAGTATAAAGAATTGGGCGAAGCAAACTTCCAGATGTGTCCTGTTCATTCCAATGCTAGTCCAGCATTTGCTACGCTGTATATCGCAACAACAGCTATTGGCTATGGCTGGGCTCTACCAGAATTAGTTGCTTCCTCCATTTTTGTCTACTGCGATCTCAAACTTTGTAAGCAGATTTTCACTGCCATACTTTACACGTTACGTTGGGTGCGGTGTCGCCCGACTATGGGTCGTTGATGCCACGCTCTTCCTTGCCATTACACTCAAGGTCTCGTCATCACGTGCCCCACTACTTAACCTGCTCTGCAACGAAAACCCTATGGAATGTTCATTTGGTCACATGTACATTCAATAATTAGGCTAAACTATTTTCCTGTGAAACCGTAAAAGCTTTGAATTGAACGCTGCTATTGTGTGTATTTTACGCCACTTTGCCTCGTCAAATTAGAATTTTGCAACACCCAACTCTGCACGACATTTTGTGTTGCTGTATATAGGGGCGGTCTTACTGTCCTGCAACCTCAGAAATACTATCGCACACAGCAGTCATGTAAACAACCGCTATCCTAAGTTTCTGTGGAATATACGGTAGACGTAACTATATGTCAAATTATAGGAAAGTTTAAAACAGTTACTGATAGCCTTGCAGATTTGTGTAGATACATCGGTTTGCACTAGTAAACAGTCCCTGTACACATGAACCTGAAGATAGCCAGATATGTGCGCATAAGTGGCAGTTTCGTATAAACTTTCGTGTTTGGGTTGCTTATTTGCCAGTGTGCTTTTAGCACTTTCCAGTCAAAAGCAGACAGTCATGTCAACATACGTGCCCAGTACAGGTACAAACGAAAGGGTAGGTCTTTTCCACGTCACAACGAAGTTGGTTCCATTCTGTTATTGAGGTTGGTGCAGACCGTTTTGAGGGATATTGAACGATTAAAAGCAATGACCGCCAGACACGGAGTCGAAGGAACCGTCGCTCACGTCAGGTAAAACTAGTGCAACTTCAAGTCTAAACCGCAGAACGAACAACCCCATATTGCAAGCCGATGTTCTTATCAAAACTTTGGTTCCTTGGGCTCGTATTAATTCTTCATGGGAAATGTTAAACCTCTCCATGATTCCCTCTTCAGTATGATTGCCATTTTCGACTCTTATATGCGGCAGTGAGTCACTCCAAAATTTTGAGACCTCACTCCACACCAGGCCCGGTCCGTGCAATTCGCTCTATCTTCTACCACCAATTCGTTTTTTACTGTTCTCACGAACGGTGCAAAGTTCAAGAACAACACCAAAAAGGGTAGATTTTCACTTTTTCCGATTTAGTCTGATGACGCTGTATACTGTCTGGCGGATATCCTGATTTCAGACATTCTCGGCTAACATTTTTGCAAACCAACCTATTTTCCGCTTCTACCATGTATTTCCGTCCTTATTATTAGGGCTTTTTTCGCATAGATACAAAATTGTAATCACATTACATGCTTTCCTTTCTTTTCGATGTCTTCTGAGTTAATGATGGTTAGCCTCCAGCTTTCCACATGTTGGCTAAGCAAGGAGGCCGAGAACTATTTTACCAACTACAAACTTATGCATAGCCACAGCAGATAATCCAATCGGACACATATGTTCTTCCTTCATAGAACACTATAACGTTGTGGGACGAAATCTTCGCAGCATTTGAATGTGCATGACCAATTAGCTTTGTAATGGCGCCTTGTCAGTCAGCTGAGCCAAACTATCAGCCAATCTTCCTTGTTGTCCGGTCTCACACAGGAAACATGACGCCTATTTTCCCGCTGTAGGCATATCTCGCACACGCGATCTACATACTCAAACAATCAAATACACAACATGCATCAATCCTCTCCCTGACCTCCTCTCGCGAGTTGTTCTTTACAAATAGAGTTCCAGACCTTCAGAACCACCTGATTTGTCTTGCACACTTTTATCCGACTGATTCAGAGCTTGTTCACAACGGAGTATATTATTCATTTCATAACGGCTCTCGAAGAGTCGTAGAACAAACCGGAATTTACAAGAAACCATTTGTATTACCCAATCGTATGAGATTTCACTCAATTAAGCTTTCCCCCAAGTGTCGTTTGTGAAATTCGCCACTTGAGAATACTGTTTTATTTATTGGAACTGGTTTTATTGGTAATTACTGGACTGAAAGCACCCGTTGAATGAGGAACTAGCATGGCCAATCTAAATACTGAAGGAGAACTCCAAATCCAGGCCAGTTTTGACTAGCTACGGTTGCTTCACTGCACTTCATACAAAGGTCATGCGATTAACGTTTGACCTGTTCGTGTCACAATCAGGAGTGCTAATCTTGCATTAACATAACTTTACTTCCAGTGCGTTCATTATTCCTGCCGCTCCAAAATCCCAACAGGCAGTTTCAATGTGAAACATCCCACAACTTAAAAATTGTACCTAAAATGGATCCCATTTGCACAAGTATAAAGACAAAAAGAACCCAGAGATATTACAGGGGCTGTGTATTCGTGCTGCAGAACAGCTTGATGGATTGAATAGGGCGGATGAGCCATTACAGACGCGCAGAAAATAAACACCTTGGACACAACTCTCAATAAAGGTTGATCCAAGAGTGAATTTTAAGGACAGCGAACACCAGCGATACAGCCCTGGCTGTCCGTGACCGAACGCTATGTGCTTCTTGATTCGGTCGGAAAGCAGATCATCAAATTTAGACTGGGCGATGAGGATACTGGAGCGTATGGACGACGATGGTGGCGCCTAAATATACAGGATATACCCCAGATTCAAAAATAAAGAACAAACTGAAGTGGGGAAAACCAGGAAGACCGATGGGCTCGCGGACGACACGAATGATAATGATATCCTCCCATGGAGAAAACAGATACAGGAAGCGAAGGCAGATCGCGCGCCCAGTGCGACCGGACAATTGACGGGCAAAAGCAACAGTGCAGAAACGGACAACGAATAAAGAGCCAAAAGCAATAGACAACGATAAAATGAAGAAAAAATTACAGATAAAAAAAATAAAACCGAATGAGACGTCTTGCGTACTCATAGAAAAACGGAGTGAAAATAACACTATCAAGGCGAAGATGTGTACAAAGTGGTCAACATTTGATTATACGATCTCACACATCGATAGTGTGGATTCCGCTTTGTTAGCCATCACAAATGTTGCTGTTAGCACACAAACATGAACGACATGGAGATGATTTCCTAAAGACCGCACACACATTGCAGAATATGATGCAGTCGCCTGGACGTGAGTTGCCAAGACAGAGGGAATCTGCTGATGATCAGAGATCGTTAGATAGGTTATAGGAAGCAGTTGTTCTAAAGTCAGAAAAATACATGAAGAATCTAAGAAAACTCATTTTTGAAGAAATAATATGCCAATCACCTATCAAAATCGTTAGTGACTAGATACTCAGGTGGTCATAGCGCATCCACAAACAGGGAGCCAGGACCTGCAACAACTCCTCTAAAGCTGCGGCATGTGACTGCTATGCGTTTGGCAGGAATGTGCGTGAAATAGGCAAGCTGCATTTGTGTTTTCATGTTGTGAATGTGCGTGTGCATGCTTAAATAGAGGAGGACAAGGCGGATGGGAGTGAACTATACGCCAATACTGATTAGAAGCAGCACACGTTCGAGGCTGCTACACAAAGTCAACACATGGTCCCAAAGTGGAACTTCAGAAACCTGTGTCCACATAAGTGAATGATGTGAAAGAGATAAGAACGAAAGTATCACTTGGTGTGCGTCATTTTTGGTTCTTCGTATGTGCATCCACCTCACTAGGAAAGACTATTTGGATACAGGTTGGATGGGATCCGTAGGCAGACGACCTGCTAAATTTTTCAGCTCAGTGGGGTTGTCACCGACAGGAACGAACACGTTTGCACCAGCTGTGGCTCCAGCAGAGGCCCCAGCAGTTGCTCCAGCCGGTGGATCCCGATTAAGAAGACTGGCGCCCTGGCATTGTTGATGTACCGTGGATCCTTTTTGACGTAACAAAGTCCAATCAAACACGTAATCCCAGACGAAGGACAAGGTCCGGAAAAGGTTTCGGAAATTACTTCGGAGAAATCCATAGTTTGGGGTCTCCTCAAAACGAAGGCTTCGGCAGTGGTTCATATAGATTGAGAATTCGGCAGGATACCCTCGACAAAGAACATCCGTTGGGACACTGACCTTCTTCTCGTAGATTTGCTCATATTTCTGCGCCTTTGTGGCTGCCTGTAAGAACAAGGATGAATGGGAACCACGTAGACAGAACGAAGTAAACGAACGTTACAGTAGCAACGTTCAGCAATCTACATGGCTGTACTAATAGAACTTCAGTGAGCTTCCAAGGGACGTCATTCTATTCCAAGGCCTACATGGGAACTGCACACTACCGCAATCACACTAAACGCTAAAGCATTCCCTAAATGTCCAAGAAGACTCTTCTACTCCCCCTGATTGTTTCCCACTTTAGCTAAAGAGTGTTGGTTTCGATGACTTGCCACTGACTTATAATATTCATGACAGTCATTTGTTCTGTTTTACAATTTCTGTCCATCCGCTATTGTTCAATAGGATTGCCAACGCGCGTCGGAGCTCCAGACAGTTGAACTGGAACTTCTGATGACTTCGGAAATAAGTGACTCTTCTACGTCGAGCGCCATGGAACTCCTGACGAAATTTAAATAGCTCTGTTCAAAGAGCGAATAATATCGGGATTGTATATTATTTACTACTGATAGAAAGGTGCTCGTCCTTCGAGACGAAAACTTACGCTCTCTAGGAATGAATAGAACCAACGCCTCAAGTTAACAATTGTAGGTACACTCCTAACGTAAGAACTGAAAGAAGAGATGGGTGATATCGCGGACAACAGATCACTGTTCCAAAGGCGCGCATTTACATGTAACTGTTCCATCTTCAGGGAACTGTGAGAGAATCCATGATCTGCAAACCTCGTTAAGAATTTGCTTATACTCTGTCGAAATGAGAAAAATGAAGTAGCCTTCTGGAGTAAAACGGAGCAAGTAATTGGGGCCTGCGCTTCCGTTCGCCCTGACATTAAGTGACGTCCAAATAAGGTAAAAAAGCTCCAGATTACAATCACACTGAAAGTTTCACAAGTAAAAGCAGTCACGGGTAGTAACTCGCAACGCAAGCGAGAGTGGTGATTCGTCGTCGAAAGCGTGTGGCCTGTCCATCTGACTGGTCATCTGACACGGAGTGCGGAAATGATGGTAGGGTACACATGGAAGACAACTCGGGAGGCGATTGTGTCGCATGTGAATGACTGCGCATTCAACAAATTCCCAAAGCATTTGGGTGTCTGCGAACAATGAGATGTTTCTAGAGGTACCTTTAGAAAAAGGATACCGGTGGATGTTGCAGATAGAGCCAGTCGCATCTACAGCTACTGCTCGGTCTCATCGAGTGGCGTATAATAAGGCAAGTGAAATGTTGTCCGGTAAGTGTTAACAAACACCACGAAAATCTAATCGGAGGAAAAACCAAGTAAACTGCAGGTTTGGTGACGTGGTAAATTTACCCAACTAGTGAAGGCAGTGTTAGAAAGGTTATATGAAATCAGGTTAGAACAGTATTGAGCCATTTGTCAACGCAGTGTTTGAATGCTTCGTGGCGTGGAGAAAAAGTGAACGGCAAGTTCGCAGGATTCTTCAAGAAACCACCTACATATTGGACGCGAATATGAGAAACTATCGCGGTGGAATTTGACGGGCAAGTGAGGGAAGACAAAATCCTCATCGTTGTTCACCCCATTCTTCCGCAATGTGCAACTCAAAATAGGTATCAAACAAATCAATGTATTGACTAAAGCTCTTCTCTATTGCGAAGAACTACGTTAATTTGAAACAATTCACCCCGTTTTCAAAGCAGTTAGCTCCAACACAGTCAAATTAATCCGCACAGGGATATCATTTTCAAATAACAACCAGAAGAACTAAGACTGGGACAACACGATGTTGCGCGCGCCCATTCAGGAATAATCAAATCCAAACGACAAATTCCTCTGCGAGGAACGAATGGATTAAACGTCAAGATAGGTTCACCCACCATTCAAGGTGGTGAATAAAGTATCAAAGTGAGTTTCCATGAGAGGATCGCATGATACAGCAATATAACTGCCAAGCGTATGTTAACTGTGATTGCTCCACACGATTAGACTATCATCATCAACAGCTGTAAGAACCGTACAGTGGGTCTAGCTGCCGCAGTTTCGTTCACTGATGATTTACGGATATGTGGTAGATAGCTGGATGCGGTAGCCGATATAATTGATGTACAAATACAGGGTTGACAGTGAACTTTTAATTGGGGAGATTCAGAGGGGGATATATGAATTGAAGACAATTGCTTGGATGCAAAAGCGTCACTGGCGGCGTGACTAGGCCATGTCTGACAATGTCTCTAACCATTGATGTGGACCGTCTCGGTGTCCCCATCCAGGGAGACGGCAATGACCAGCGCCACTGAGTCTGCTGGTAGTGGCTTTTATGCTTAGCTGCCAAGTCGAGCTCCAGACAGTTGAACTGGAACTTCTGATGACTTCGGAAATAAGTGACTCTTCTACGTCGAGCGCCATGGAACTCCTGACGAAATTTAAATAGCTCTGTTCAAAGAGCGAATAATATCGGGATTGTATATTATTTACTACTGATAGAAAGGTGCTCGTCCTTCGAGACGAAAACTTACGCTCTCTAGGAATGAATAGAACCAACGCCTCAAGTTAACAATTGTAGGTACACTCCTAACGTAAGAACTGAAAGAAGAGATGGGTGATATCGCGGACAACAGATCACTGTTCCAAAGGCGCGCATTTACATGTAACTGTTCCATCTTCAGGGAACTGTGAGAGAATCCATGATCTGCAAACCTCGTTAAGAATTTGCTTATACTCTGTCGAAATGAGAAAAATGAAGTAGCCTTCTGGAGTAAAACGGAGCAAGTAATTGGGGCCTGCGCTTCCGTTCGCCCTGACATTAAGTGACGTCCAAATAAGGTAAAAAAGCTCCAGATTACAATCACACTGAAAGTTTCACAAGTAAAAGCAGTCACGGGTAGTAACTCGCAACGCAAGCGAGAGTGGTGATTCGTCGTCGAAAGCGTGTGGCCTGTCCATCTGACTGGTCATCTGACACGGAGTGCGGAAATGATGGTAGGGTACACATGGAAGACAACTCGGGAGGCGATTGTGTCGCATGTGAATGACTGCGCATTCAACAAATTCCCAAAGCATTTGGGTGTCTGCGAACAATGAGATGTTTCTAGAGGTACCTTTAGAAAAAGGATACCGGTGGATGTTGCAGATAGAGCCAGTCGCATCTACAGCTACTGCTCGGTCTCATCGAGTGGCGTATAATAAGGCAAGTGAAATGTTGTCCGGTAAGTGTTAACAAACACCACGAAAATCTAATCGGAGGAAAAACCAAGTAAACTGCAGGTTTGGTGACGTGGTAAATTTACCCAACTAGTGAAGGCAGTGTTAGAAAGGTTATATGAAATCAGGTTAGAACAGTATTGAGCCATTTGTCAACGCAGTGTTTGAATGCTTCGTGGCGTGGAGAAAAAGTGAACGGCAAGTTCGCAGGATTCTTCAAGAAACCACCTACATATTGGACGCGAATATGAGAAACTATCGCGGTGGAATTTGACGGGCAAGTGAGGGAAGACAAAATCCTCATCGTTGTTCACCCCATTCTTCCGCAATGTGCAACTCAAAATAGGTATCAAACAAATCAATGTATTGACTAAAGCTCTTCTCTATTGCGAAGAACTACGTTAATTTGAAACAATTCACCCCGTTTTCAAAGCAGTTAGCTCCAACACAGTCAAATTAATCCGCACAGGGATATCATTTTCAAATAACAACCAGAAGAACTAAGACTGGGACAACACGATGTTGCGCGCGCCCATTCAGGAATAATCACATCCAAACGACAAATTCCTCTGCGAGGAACGAATGGATTAAACGTCAAGATAGGTTCACCCACCATTCAAGGTGGTGAATAAAGTATCAAAGTGAGTTTCCATGAGAGGATCGCATGATACAGCAATATAACTGCCAAGCGTATGTTAACTGTGATTGCTCCACACGATTAGACTATCATCATCAACAGCTGTAAGAACCGTACAGTGGGTCTAGCTGCCGCAGTTTCGTTCACTGATGATTTACGGATATGTGGTAGATAGCTGGATGCGGTAGCCGATATAATTGATGTACAAATACAGGGTTGACAGTGAACTTTTAATTGGGGAGATTCAGAGGGGGATATATGAATTGAAGACAATTGCTTGGATGCAAAAGCGTCACTGGCGGCGTGACTAGGCCATGTCTGACAATGTCTCTAACCATTGATGTGGACCGTCTCGGTGTCCCCATCCAGGGAGACGGCAATGACCAGCGCCACTGAGTCTGCTGGTAGTGGCTTTTATGCTTAGCTGCCAAGTCGTTGACCTCCCCTGGCCCGTTTCCACCCTTCGTGTGGTTGTGTGTGGAGAACCCTTCGAGAGATTCGGTCAACTGGCATAAGTAGCAGGTGAACAAGCTAGTGCAAACTGTGGAGTTTGATCACTTAATCTATCGAGGACGAGCTACTTCTTCCGAAAAGCATCTCACGTATTTCAACATGACTGGTTCGGTGTTCCCCCCAGACTCGGGCAATGCTTCGAATATACCAATGATCAAACACTGAAAGTCTTTTGACGTCATTGGCGCGCAGCAGCCGGATTCTGAACCGTACAATATGGAGCGCCGCGCAGCATTGTATATTCGATCTTTGACGGAGAGTCAGATGTCATTCCTACGCCACAGGTGATACAGGTTCACGAAAGCCGCTCTGGTCCTCTCACCACTGGGACTGATACAGTTGCCCACGCAGACAAATTTGTCCACTGCTTCAATCGGCCCATCCGCAAGCATGAGATTCGGGTCCGAGCCCATCCAGTCTTGCGGCAGCACTTTACCCTTTGCAAGTGTGAAGCGCATGTCAAAGTATGAGGCAAAATTATTCAGATTATTTAATATTGTCCGTGACCAGAGTATGCAATACACTGCACTCATGCCAGTAAAAAGGTCAATACCGGATGGGATAGGACGAGCTTTGTTGAGCAATTGATGTCCCCTATCGGAAACCACACACGTACCTTGGTGAAATATTCACTGAAGGACATGGTGTGAAAAGTCAAAGTGAGAGCCGTCGCCAAGAGACTATATATAGGACCGTCTCCAGATGGCCGTCCTATCAAAGTTCCAGTCAGGAAATCAGGCCGTTTTACTTCAAAATCCCTATACACAAACGATCAAGGACTGTTTGAGGGCAATTTGGCTAATATTTCTCGTTCTTCGCTTTACAGCAGTTACCCAATCAATATCGGACTCTTGCAAAGCTCATAGACTTGCTTTTCACAGATTCTCAATCGGTTTGAGATCCGAATTACAAGAAGGTTAGCCAGACAATACAGAGAACAAAGCTTGCGTTGTGCTGTCGAAATATCCCATCCTAGTAGCGTGGATGGGTAGCAATAATCCCTTGAATCCTAGATGACCACAAAACATTTGGAGGACGGGAAAATCCCGGGTCTGGTTGCTCATGGTGGCCAAAAGCTGCTGACCAAATACCGTTTCACTGCGGTGGACTTATTGGAAAGTAAAGTTTTTACGCAGTGTACCACCAGATCAGACATGGGTGTTTATATCCCCACACAAACATTCGCATGCACAGAAATGGCTGAGTGACCTAAATGAATTTTAGGGCGGACATCGTAGACTACTTTTTGAATCACCAGAGTAATCGGTTCGCGCATGCATGATAAACCAAAAAGGACCCTGCTAAGCCGAAATTTATTCAGAAATCGCGAAATTAGGAGCACCGCAACGAAAATTCAAATTTTAGATGGCTTCTAGTTGGTAGGATTTTTTATGACAAAACGAGATAAGCACCACTGTGATACTTTCAGTTCCCAAACTGATTAACGCGCAAATCGGATCAAAACGGTTGGAAAACACTGGAATCTATGACTGATGTGTTCATAAAAGTAAAGTGGATCGGCAGGTCAGCCCGCGGAGATTGCATATGTCACATGACATGGCCCTGCAACTCGCGCATAGGGCAGTTAATGAAAATGACATCAGAATCGTGACGTTAATTAGTAGAAACATTTCTAACGTACTGATGGTTTGGGTCGTGTAACTATTAGAATGGAAAGTTTGGAGCAATGGTGACAGAGAGAGTGGAAACTCATCAACTTTCCTATTACTCTAAATAGGTGAATGACGACCAGTTCAGGCTAAAGAATGACCGGAAAACTAAGCTCATAGTGTTATCGGGATTCCTCAGTTTCGACCTATCGGCCTAACGTACAAACAAACTTATTAACCATACTATGAGAGGTAATCCATGCATTCACGCATTAATCCCACTTGCGTTTACAGAGCAGTTGATATCCCTTAGTGGAACTGACTGATAAAAGAACAGCTGTATCGTAGTTTTATCGGGCAGTTTGCGATTTATACAATGAAATTATGATGAAGCTGTTTCCCACTCACTGAGTCACACCAAGGGATATCAAGCAATCTTTCAGAATTTATATGGACGGAAGCGGGTAACAACGAAGTAGCGAACGAAACAACATCCATTCGATCCAAAACCAATTCTTCTAATGGGTTTTCAACACAATTATGACTAATTTCGTATGAACAGAATTCAGTGAAAGGATGTAACACGACCTTTATACCAGACCACTGAAAGATGCTGCTCTAGCAGTATTGACTAGGTTGGTGGATTTCCGCTCTACACATCCCTTCACACATCCGGGACTGACTTAACTAAATCATCTACGGTGCCACGGGTCCTGTGCTGCTTACATATCGCTGCACATATCTCGCGATAACATCCCGTGAGTTTTCTTATGGGGTCTTGTCCGAACTGAACACCAGACCTCTGAAGAGACTGAATATTCCGGTTTCTTATTTGGGTACAATGAAAAGAGGCGTTGGCATGCTGTTTCTCGAAGAAAAATGGAATGAAGCAACCAGTAGCGATATTGTTGTAGAGACCAGTCGTCGTTTTCACGTGCGGTGCAACCAAAAATTTACATCTCACAAAACCGGTAGTCCGATTGTGTCTCCAAACACTGTGAACCCCCTTCCATTCGAAGGCAGCGAGAGTAAGTACAAACAAGTAAGCTGCTTAGAAAAGAAGAAAATTTAAAAACTTGCATGAGCCTCCCAGCTGAAAAGTGGTCACCGGAGGGGCAAGGAAACACTGGATCTTGCGACCCTAGAAGTGTGACCAAAAGATGGTGGTGGTATATACCGCAAGAGTACGAGTTAATCATACAGCTGGTCAGCCACTCGCGGTAGAATGGTCGAATCTCTTGAGATTCGTGAGATTTATAGTGAGAATGAACCCTGCTTATCGACAGGAAACGACTTCAATAACGGAATGGAGTTTACTGCACTCACCACAGTAAATATGCCGTTCGCTTAATTCTAAGAAACCTGTGCATTGTCCCAAGACAACAGGAGTTATTCACCCAAATGCACTTCAAGTATGGGAAAAATTCGAAGTATCGTATATATGAGGACTTCTTCTACTTCAAAAGACTATACATGAATCAAAAGCCTCCTCTTCGACGACTTTTGCGTGACTCTTGTGCCTTTTGTTGCCATACCCAAATTGAATACGCAAATACTGTTCAAAGGCGCTTTGATCAAATCCACTAGTTTTTCTCTTCTTAGATGATGTTGCGAGTCAACATCTTCCTCAAACCCCGACGGCAATGATTTGTGTGGTTTTCAAATGAACTGAATCAGCGACAACAACACCCAATTAATAAGGCTAACCAGCGGTGAAACTAGGTTCGCAACTCTCGGACACCAGTGGTTTAATCCACGAGCATCATTCATGTAGGAGTAGGGCTAAGGGTTAGCGTAAAAGTGTGTTCCGTCTGCGTAAACTCGAAGCTAGTCACTAAATTTTGAACAAGCGTGTTCAAAGTCCGAAGTCTGGTGGAGGGTTACATAAGTGTTGCACAAGGTTGAGCATTATTTACTATAAATAACAGAACGACAGTTTTAAGCAATGAAAAGCACCGCAAACCAACCTTTAAACCCTGCCAAGGAAGAGTTCCACGGAGAAAATACATCAGGACGTAGCCCAACGATTCAAGATCGTCCCGTCTGGATTGTTCGATACCAGCATGTGAATTTATGCTAGCATAGCGAGCCGTGCCAATCAGTGCCTTGTCCTCACGGTAAGCGATATGCCGATGTGAACGGGAATCTCTGGACGGATGAAAGAAAAGTCGAACATTGAGCTCTTGTGTCGGTGATAAAAGAGCACTGCCCGACAGTGGTACAACTGTTGTCTCAGACAGTGTGTACTAATTTTCCCGTTTGAACCAATCATGTGACTTAATCGTTAAAGAGTAACTATCCAAAAGCCATCTAGAAGGATGCGATACAAAAGCGATGTTGAGAGGTGGCAGAATGAACACATTCTGGGAAAACTGCCAGCTCTGAAGGTATTTATTGGAGTATTGCTCGATATTAGTTGGCCAAAAGGGTCAGTATCATTAGGCTGTACATTCAGCCCTCCAGTACTAACAAGGAGATCGGTAATCGGCTGGCAATGAATAGCTGTATGACAAGAAGACGTTTGCGGTATAGAAATTAAAGAAGCTTGCAGTACACAATACACAGCGTACTAAAACATAAAAGGATACTTGACTAAAAACTCCCTTTGTTCAATATTCTACTGGACTTGATCTGGAAAGACTTCTCCTAAGGATCGACTCTTATCAAAGAGAAAAAAGGTCCTATAGATTAGCCTTAGCGATAGGATGTGTCGAACTCCAATGGCGGCGAGTCATCAGGAAGAGCTGAGACCGTCGACCAAAAAACCTGATGTCAAATGTTGTCTCTAGGTGATTGGGTGGGCTTGGTTACTGTAACTTATTAATTCTAAGTACCATTAACAACTGAAAGACAAAGTGATACAAGTAGTCCAGCATTCCCGTTTCAGACAACATAGAATATGGACTAGTCTAGACAAAGACCAAAGAGCAAAGACGGTAACCCCACGTGATGGTAGTGACAGGAACAACAGTTTTTAACGCCAAATACGAGATACCAAGATATGCGGTCATCTGTCCTAAGTGATGGACCTACAAGGATCTCCAAGATTTATTGAGAAATGTCATCATTTGAGAAAAAAGATAAAATGGTCAATGTGACGAATAACGGCTCACCGGATAAAATGGAATGCGAAGAGTTTATGTAACAGTCCCATCACCATCATCACCACCATCATCGGACAGCAACATCAGTGTTGACACTGATGCTTCACTGCCGTATCACGGTTCCTAATAATATAAGAAGGCTGATATCGTTCCGGTCACAACCCACAGGTTGAACAAGAACAATGGAACTGTTGGTGGTCAGATCACAAGCTAAAAGCTCCTCACAGCACCGACTACCCAAGCTTCGAAGAGATCAGAAACCCGTTGATAGCTGATACGCATGTAAATGTTTAATGGCGACAGACAATATGGCCGAAAGAATCAACCGTTTAGGGTAACAGGTAGACCACCTCTAGAAAGTAACACCGACTTTCCAATCAGATTCATAATACCACAGTCTGTAAGTTGCCTGCTAACACTGATGGCAAACTCCAGTACGCTTCTTTTGGGATACAAAATATCGACTACTCATAACTTGACTTGAGATATCAAGTCGAACAAATAACTAAAGGGTGTAAGTAGTAGTGCAAAGAACTTCAAACAGAGTAGAAAGATTTACAAGCCATTCATATGGTTAGAACAGTCTCGGAAATCGTCGATAGATAGGAAGATGTAGATAGGAAGATGTAGTTGAAGGAAGATGAAGCTCTTCTGTCCAAACGATGACTTATATGCAAAAAGAGATGTGTGTAATGCGGTTCGGTAGCTATGATGAATTTATCACAACATACTTGCCAAAAAATACACACAAATTGTCGACCAACAACATGCGGGCGGACGTGGGAGAAACTGAGTGGCTAACTGACTGTGGACTTAACGTGACCCCTTTACCGGAGAACACATTCTTTTCAAACTGGACAAAGTCAGATCACTGCGCGACAGTAAAACAATGCGCTGTAGGTCAAGGAAAACCATGCGCGAAACCGAATTCCTCGAAATTCTACGCAACGATTCAAAGTAGGTCCATAGATTTGGACACAATGGCTAGTCCACTGCTGCATTGAGTCGAGGGGCCTAAGGTTACCTTACTCGACTGCATTGCGACTTCAAGTATTGTCGGTCAAATAAATCAGCACCAAGACTGAAGCATGAACAAGCGTAGCAGGGTCAATGAAGTAAGGCCGATATGAAGGACTATTAATCTTTTGTGGAGTGATATCAGCATTTTGCACTTGAAGGAAGACAAGGCAATGGCATCGCTGGAAAAGTGGTCAAGGACAGTGAACTGAGAGCAAGACAAAGTGGGCGAAACAAGACCACAGATGACAGATCTGCAATCAGTCATTCAATCGTTAAACAGCCAGTTGCAAATAAGCTTATTCCAGCAGTAGACGGGATAGAAATAGCCCACCAAGTAAGGTCGGTTTTTCTAGCAAGTTTTGGGCGCTCCGGTAAACATTCTCAATTGAACATGAATAATGACTTCAAACACGCTTGTTAATCGACGGTACCCCTTGAAGAGAATAACAAAAAACCAGGCACACTTTCTATTACTTCACTTAGTGGAAACAAACTGAAATAGTCTTTTGCCGGACGAAGTATCCTTTTCAATCCACAAAAAAAGACATTGCTTCAAAAAACATTCCATGAACAAATCGTCTAGTCCATTGAAAAATTTTGCAGAATGATTTGTGAGGAAAATACTCGAGCGTAACACAGATTCACGGATCGGTCGACAACAGACGCGTAACACTCTACCACAGCAACTACGTTCATATGTTAAACAAGGACACGCGAGGGTACTGAGCGTACGCTGCCTTCTGCACTTTTCACTAATGACATGTCTGGACGCAGCGTTAGAAAGCAGATTTAGTGACTTGGAGTTGAAATATTTTATCCACTGCAACAATTTTATGGAGCGAAGTCACATCAGCTTGCTCCGCTCGTCGTATCGTTTTTGGTGACGCCATTGGTTCGAACACCCATTCACCCTTTGTTTTCAAAGTGCCTCTAATCATGTTACTGAATCCAAGGATGGTGACAATGTTGGGTTTGTACTGAAGTCCTTTATCAATTGCCATAACAACAAATCAGCGTACCCAAAGCAGAGTCGAGTGGCGGGTCGCCGTACTGTTTCTACTAAAGAAATGGATGAAAACGAGGTTTGCAACTAAAAGTGGAACTCAGTGATAGACCCGCTCAACAAGACCATTACAACCAAACCACTGAACCTATTTCGATGGAATTTGAGAAGCAGAGGCTAAGCAGCGTTGAAGGCAAAGTCGCTACCAAAGGCGTCGATATTTTGTTCTCAAGAGAAGATATCAACATGGAAAATGTAGTCAAAAACCTTACACGGGATTTGTGGCGTGATCAGCAGACTCGGACTAGGTTTCTGTACATCTGAACCGACTACGAACTGTCACTCACAGGATCATAGAATAAGGTTTAAATGCTGGACGATGTTGGCAGCTGCATTTCGGTTGGAGCTTCACATCATACGCAAAAGTGCGCCTAGACATTAAGAAGGCACGTCGCAATCTAGACTCGAATAATCGATTGATGCGAATGGTAGATCTAATTAGGTATGCTCTTAGGATTGTAATCTAAAGGTTTACGTTGTCAAGTGCAATGAGAAGAAACCGCTCTAGACAATGGCCAAAAGCGAATCATGCTGCAATTGTAACTTGGCTTACCTGATTTTTGTCTCGGTGCATTCAAGCACAATTGAGAGTGATTAACAACGAAATGCTCGCTTTGTCGAAGAAAACGGGTTGCTAGGGTTTTGAAAATCAGGTGCATGCTATTAACAGAGGAGTGAAAGGTCTGATAAAAATGACTGCCTCTATCGGATGGCAACTGCTGCAACTGTTTGATTCGTTTCATTATGGTGTCCCCACTAATTTAATCAACCGACCTTTCGACTTTCTCGGCTTCCAGTTGCTGGTGTGCTTCCGAGGTTTATTAGCCTATGATTTAAACGCATGCAACGTATGAGGCTCAACCATTATTATCATCATCGTCGACAGCACACCAGTACTGAACACCGATGCTTACTGCCGTACAACCACAATTTATTTGAAAGCCTCATTGTGAGGTAAAGAATGGAAGTGGATGGGGAAGTGTCCTAATGCTAGCCTACCACAATCATTCCGAGGTGCCTAAACCTCTAGACAATCTGGATGGAAAATGACAACAAAACTATACTGACATAGATTAGCGGCCATAGTTCTCAGCGTCACTGACCATGAACAGGGGATCACGCACACCCCCATTCACGAAGGCGAGTTCCATCGGCAGTACTATACGCTTAATACCGGATCAAGATACGACCGACTTCTGGCAAATGCAAGGGACATACTCTTGGTGTTACTTGCACGTTCGCACCATGAAATGATTTCAGCAGGTTCACGTCAGGATAATGTGCGGTCACCGGTATTCTATTTAAAAGCTTAGAAAAACGTGGGCAGTTCGGTGTGTTTCTGGAACTAGATAACGCACTCAATACATTCAAGGGAGACGGACTATTTCACTACGTTAATCCCGGCGTCAAAAGTCTCTGAATTATTACAACTCCAAAAACGTGGACGATAATTTAGGTTTCCTTTGGCAAGTCCCGTACAATGCGGAACATCCTGGAAGAACTAACATCAAAACTTTGAATTTGCCGTTCAGGATGTTTATTCATACGGTACGGTTGGATTGGTAATCGAGTAAGTAGTATTTTCGTCCGGTCTTAATCTGTATCACATTGAAAACCAATGCTTTAAAATGGAGAAGTTCCTCTATATAGAAACATACCAATGAGGTAGAAAGGATCGGCAAAAGTACGGAACACCATATAATGCATTCTGCGAAATTTGTACTCCAAACATAGGTCAGAGGAGAACTGTGACACTGACGAAAAGAAAAGAATTATGTTGTCTGGTCAAACGATGGCCGATTTTGTGCACTTGACAGTCAGCAAGCTAAAACGAGGGCTGTGTGAGGTATACCAACAGACAACAATCACACAGAGTGACCTCAGCTGGTATGCGGTCAGCTGTTTTTTTGTTTCAGATACAATGTAAATACCAGTTGTGTCAGGGTGATCTGGTAGTTAAC